CCTCATACTTCTTCAGGTGTTTGTCCTTCGGCGGGATGAAGAAGAAGGTTTTCTTGCCTTTCAGAATATGGTAGTATACTGAGGACCCTCCAAAGTCGATGTGGAAATCGGTATAGCAGTCGGCAACGGACATCAAGACGTAAAATTGAACTTTCGGGCAGTCACCGACGGCCTTCTGTTCTTCAGGCCAGACAGAGTCCTGAAGGTCAAGATCCCGGACAACCTTTGGCCGACGAATAAGCTTGCCCAATGGGCTCTGTGAGACTTCCAAACTGATGACATTTCGGACAACCTTGTCGCCGGTACTTTCGTAGTATTCCGCCCATTTCTGCATTGTCCACCTCTTGTCTTCGTTCTGTTGCGATTTGACATCAATGACCTCCACTCTTTCTTCCGGTCCGTAAAGCTCCGCAACTCTTCGAACGGTGAGGCCTCCAGGTATCACCATGTCCAACTGGTCCTGGCCGCAATCTATCACTTGCTCATAGCCTTCCTCTTGCTCAGAAACGTGATCCAGCAATTCGTCAAACATCTCTTGCGTAGGCGCTTCTTGTACTAGAGCGTCAAACTCGGAATCATTGATAGAAACGGACTCGCGAGTGTTCCACTCCGCAGGGATGACAATCGGTTCCGTCATGCCATTGCCTCGCTCGAAATATTCGGCAGTGACCAGCTCAGGACGCATTCGTGGGAAGTTTTCGGGGAGGAATTGGATTTTGCCCTGTCGGATGGGTTCAATGTAGTGGTGTTCGAGAGAGTCCGTTGCAGCCTTGACAAGCCCTTGGTTGAGGCCGGCATAATCAATAGCTGTGCGAGCCCGAGACGATTTGCGCACGAAAGTAGTCTGTCCATATATAGGACGGCATTCTCGACAGATAAATTTGTCCACCGTTCGGAGTTCGCGGTCACTCTTGAACCCAGCACAAACAATATGAAACCACCGTTTACAACCATCGCAGCTGATCCATGTCACGTCGCCTTGCTCGCCATTGTCCATCGGAATCCGCACAAGGTTGCAAGCCGCGCAGCTAGCCTGGTTAGACTCCTCCGCTTCATCGTCAATCTTGGAGGAATGCTCTATCGGCATTTGCGCGACGTGTGTGGTGTGCATTGAATGTTGTGCCTGTGTCTCGCTCGGTCTACCATTTATGGTGAACTTCGTGGGGGAATAGTCGTTTTCAGCGTCCCCTTCCTCCTGCCAGAGAATTGGTGGAAGAGTAGAGGAGCTTGTATTGGGTCGCACGCCATGAATAACCGGGCGTGATATGGCAGCTGAACCGTCGGACTGTGACCTCAGCCGAGACGGCATGTTGTTGGGCCCGGGTGCACTGTATGTATATTTTTCGTCGTTGAACCTCCAGCTCGCGCCGCCCGAATCCGCCGTGACATGATGCTTTTGTTCGTCCCCATAATGATAAAACGACTCGTCGATGCTGACACGTTTTGCGGAATGCGAGGGAGGATGGAAGTTTGTGGGCCGGGCCAGATTCAGCAAAAGCTCTGCATCCGTCTTCATGCTATCAAACAACGAAGCAGAATTTGCATCCGACACGGCCACTGTCCGGTGCTGGGTGTAAGGAGAGGGATCCTTTTCCGACCTCGGACGCTTGTTTGGGCGTTCTGTGGATTCGATGGGCTCGGAGGGGAATAGCGACATGGCTGGTGTGGAGTTTTGAGAAGGAGGTCGGTAGGAGAGTGGTGCGAAGGTCGGGCTCGTCGCTAAGGCGATGGTTGCAAGAGCGTCGATGGTAGAACCGGAGCGGCCATGGCTAGAGCGATGAGAAGCTGTCTCATCAGCATGATGATGATGATGTGTAGGATTGTGAGGTAGGAAGTGGTCGCGATCGGAGGCAGCAACCCGGGAGACGTTGCGGTCGACCCATGATGCACGGAGGTCGGAGGTCGAGCAAGGCGAGATAGGCTCGACGGCGCGTCGCGGCGGCGAGGGAGTGCGATACCGCGGCGGTCGGCTCCCAAGGTGATTCAAGAAGGATGTAGCAGTGATCATCGTGTGATCTGAGGATGAAATCGGAGGGAAAGGAGAGAAAGAAAAGGGCCCGGAGGAGGAAACAGGCGTGCTTGCGGCAGACGGGTGCAAAGCGGGGATGTTCGACCACACGGGCTAAAGAGAGGCCACCGCAGGCAAAAAGAGAGTCATTCCTGGCAGACTGAAGAGCGCACAGTGAACAATGAGATGAAAGGTGAATCAGAAGGGAAACCGAGGAGATGGTGGGGTGGTGGAAGGAGAGGGTGACGGAGGAGAGTCGCACGGCGGAGAGGTTGAGGGGGGGAAGTTGAGAGAGAGTCTCTGCCGACTGGGAGTTCAATCGAGAGCGGCGGGAAGAGAGAGCCCCGAGTATGCACCGCGGCGGGTGCGGGCGAAAAAAGAAACGTCTGAGACGGGTCAATCAAGGTGCAGGAGAATATGATGAAGAATACAGGAGAACAAGCGATTGAAGAATGCGCCAGAAAAACAGATTAAGAGGATGGGCTTTGCACCGGAACAGAGCAGGAGGAGGCGCGAGGCTTTGCTTGGACGGCCGGTCGAAGGAAGGCAAAGCGGGCGCGCCGCCAGTCTGCCTCAGGCCGGCACTCCCTATCCTATCCTATCGTTTGCGGCGAGCAGCCCGGAGAGCAGCACTACTACTACTTGCAGTTCGAAGTATACCAAGGGGGGTTTTCCACCTTCATAGCTCAACTTTTCAGATAAGGTATTAGGAGCGAAGTAATCCTATATCTCCAAATTATTCTCTTCAACTCCGACAGTTCCATCTACACCCTGACGTCGTCCGTCGGCCTCAATGCCTCGGACTTGTTGTCGTCTTGTCTCGAACCAACAAAGTGAGGCTCCTCCCAGCCGCTAGTCCCAATCAGGAAAGGCAGGCTCCCTTCCGAACCTCGTGCTTGTCGCGGATATTGCTTCCCTCTCTCCTCCTCCTCTTCCTCTCTCTTCCCTCGCTATACACCTTTCATTCCAGGCCCTCTGGGTATCTGATTCATCTTCAACCTCTCCCGACCCCATTTTTAGGACCTATACTGTCCCACCCGAGAATGAGCCGGAAGCTCGCCCCCGAAGCCAATCGGTAAGTTCTGCTCGCCGAATCTTGCCCCTCTTCGGTCGCCCGCCATCATTCAATCCCGGGCATTTGTTCTGCATGCTGTTGGATGGCAAACATGCGTGCCGAACGAGTATCATATCTGACGTATCGATGCTGACTGGTTTCAGGATTCTCTTTGTAAAGAACCTCAAGTGCGTCGATGATTTCCCATGATTTACTCCTCGATTCGCAACCCAATCGTCGCATACCTATCGACCGACAGCCATCAGGCGAAAGGCGCCCCATCTTGTTCTAGAAAGCGAGAGCTAATCTGATTGTCTCCTTACAGCTACAACGTCACAGCTGAGCAACTCTTTGACCTCTTCGGCAAATTTGGTCCCATCCGGTAAATCTGCGCATGACTCACGTTCAGCCCATTTCTTGGTCATTCAAGGCTAATTGTTTTTGTTCTTCAAGCCAAATACGTCAGGGAATTGCCAACAACTCGAAGGGCACGGCCTTTGTGGTTTACGAAGACGTTCATGACGCCAAACAGGCATGCGATAAGCTCAATGGATTCAACTTCCAGAACCGATACCTCGTCGGTATGTTATCCCGTGCCAGGGGAAGATGAAGCAGAGAAAGTATGAGGACAATTCGATTGGCTGACATTTGTTTTCTGTCCTAGTTCTATATCACCAGCCCGAGAAAATGCTTAGGTCGAAAGAGGACTTGGCGGAAAGGCAAGAGAATTTGGAGCGTCTCAAACAGCAACATGGGATAGAATGACGTGATGATTGCTTTTGTTCGCTTTCTCTGCATGCCCTTTGCCGGCATCTGGCTGCGTATTATCCTGGGTTGGTCGTGGGGTTTCTGGCGTTTTTCTCTCCTATGGGTTTGATGGCTCTTATTCATTCATGGGTATGAAAGGGTTGCCGGCGGGTTGAATGACACCCTGGCTTTTTGTTCAGGAGAATGATACAGAATGGGTTATTTCAAACCGGGGTCGGTGCTAGCTACACCGGCTCTAAGGTTACCAATATAATCATTTCGATCGCCGGCCACCTTTTGGCTGTTGCGGCACCCCCCTCTGAGATTACTGCTTACTACAGGTGTTTTGACTTGTCTTGCTTCAAATTTTGGATGTTTAGAGTGACCCCGATCAAGGGGGGAACTGACCCAGCGCACTTGCAGAGACCACGTCAGTCGTAGAAGTGGGCAGGTATCTGACGATCGTCCAACGGCCGTCAGTTTGCATGGGGGTGGATCAAGCGGTTGAAGATCGTGCATCGACTAGTGAAGTATCTACAGAAACCCCCTGGAGTGCCGACGTAAGGCTAGCCAACTAGTGCGGTAGTTTATGTCTCTGCTGAGCTTCGCTTTAATGGTATCCACTCCCGGCCTCGTTAGCCGCGAGATCCAAGCGCCAATTATATTGTCACAATAGCGCAGGTGCAGCATTGGGGTAACATACTTGGAACGTCTGCACCTGACGACTCAAGCACCCGATGATCCTGGACAGTTGGCTTGCAGGCGCCAAGGGGCACCGATGCCAGACACGGTAGGCAGAGAGACAAACCCCTGGGATCTGTAGATAAGGAACAACACGCCCTCTATCACTAGATGCGTAGAGCAAAGTAGCGATCGGAAGCAGGTTTATTCTACGAAAGCATGAACTTCTATTTACCTACTGGATACTGCACCGACCAGTATCTGGGGTATACTGATCCACCGAGGGTCGATCTTCGATGACAGCTGGAGCACAGGCGCTGGAGTAAGGAGGCGATCAGCCTGGATTCGGCAGTCATTATTGATGCCTGATCCATGAGGCCTAAAAGTATGTAAATGCCTTGGTAATGAGGCACAAACATGTGGCCAATCCTAGAGCCGATAGGCATGACTCAGCCCCACCCACCGCGGTTCTAAAGAATTTCTTTTCGCTGCGGTCCAGATGCGCTTCTGCTTCTACAACCACCACCACCTTTCCTCCCCAGCATTTAGATCTGCAACACGGCAGTGATCCTTTGCGTGAGCCTCTTTAGACCGCTACACACGTCAAATCCACATTTTTAACAATGTCTGAGACTTCTGCCGGTATGCACATCCCAGGTCTCGTTTTTCTCATGGCCATATACTGACAATCTCTATAGCCTGGCCCCTCGCCGATGAGGCCCTCACCCAGAACCTTCTGGACCTTGTCCAGCAGGCTGGTCACTACCGCCAGCTGAAGAAGGGTGCTAACGAGGGTATGTGCTTCCTCAAGGATACTCATTGTCTGCCTGCCTGCTAATTGTCTTTGCAGCCACCAAGACTCTTAACCGTGGTACCTCCGAGCTCGTTATCCTCGCTGCCGACACCTCTCCCCTCGCTATCCTCCTCCACATCCCCCTCCTCGCTGAGGACAAGAACACCCCCTATGTCTTCGTGCCCAGCAAGCTTGCTCTCGGCCGTGCTACCGGTGTTTCCCGCCCCGTGATTGCTGCCAGCATCACCACCAACGAGGCCAGTGACCTCCAGGGCCAGATCAAGACCATCAAGGACAAGGTCGAGAGACTGATGATCTAAGCGTTGGTCCTGATGTGGAAATCCCTCCGAGGATTGTGCCTCTGTGGGTTCTTGAGGATTCTGTTGTGACTTCGGGAGTTGACCGGCCATGACAAACGAAGTTTTCGCCCCACAGTGCGAGAATAAGTCTCGTGAAAGGCTTGGATTGCTGCCGGATGATCAATCGGATATTGTAGGTGGTGTGCGCCTGCGGTTAGTACAGATAAAAGTCAATGACAAAAAATGTGCCAAAACTTGTGTAGTCAATCTTGGTTATTCTAATACCCAGTAGTCGAAGACACGATTCCAGTATACCAGTAATCATCACGCAAACCAAAAATAGTTCATAACAAATATAGTCAGGGTCACCAGAATCAGGGTATTTCTCGGGGGGCGCAATAATTTGCAGGACCGCCGGGTAGGAGCTTGGCGGGCGCTAGTGAGGCCCAGCTGCGGGGGCGGTGTCTTCAGAGTCTTAGAGTTCTCGTGCTGGTCCTGACCTCATAACTCAAGGCTGGCTGGTTCTCCGCCCCATTCTCATCCTCCCATGAAACCCACTTAATTCCTAGCTTCTACCTTGAGACCCTGGCTGGTTCCGGTTCCTTGCTGGTTAAGGAGGACCTGCCTTCTTCGTCTATATTCACCGTCGCGCTCCTAATTCTGGTTGAAATCCTCCCATCATCTACAAATTCTGCCCCGGCCATATGCCCGTGACACGGACTTTCCTCGCAAGATAGGCACGCCGCCGTCTTGCATCTCCGCAGGTCACTGGACTCCCCTCAATTATTACCGCCACCAGTCGCTTGGCCGTGAAAATCCCTCGGACTTTGTCGAGAAATCTTCTCGCTATAGCCTCTTCCCCTTGATTTTGCTTTCCATCTGTATTACGGACGCAGCATCGCCGCCATGACCTTCACATCGCTCACCGGGCTAGTCATAACAACGGCTATCGCAGCCCTTAGTAGCGGTGTCGGTGCCTCGGCGGTTGGCAGTCTGACCACAGCCTCCACCACCTCCATAACGCCGTCACCATCACCATCACCTACTATGCAAACTGTACCTTTTCATTTGGCTGGTCCAGATCCGACCGATGGAGACGACACCGGGGAATGCAGGCTCCTAGGGCCTTTTTCGCTTCTCGTTCAAGCTGCGCTCGGGGCATTGGCGCTGCTATCACTTGTCTACAAGCGCTGGAGGGAGAGACCTCAGCGACCAGTGAAGGTGTGGGCATTTGATGTCTCGAAGCAAGTCTTTGGGTCTGCGATGCTGCACCTCGCGAATCTGCTTATGTCCATGTTTTCGGCGGGCCAGCTGGAGATCCGGAGTAAATACAAACCAAACCCATGCTCCTTCTACATATTGAATTTGGGAATCGATGTAAGGTTATCCCTATGCTCCGTTATACGGGTTGCATGCTGACATGCTTCGTTTCAAGACCACGCTAGGCATCCCGATCCTCATCTTCATCCTTCACCTCCTCAACCGCTTAGCCTCGTATACTCCCCTCGCGAGTCCTCCGGAGTCCATCGAGTCTGGGAATTACGGAAGTCCGCCGCGCGCCTCATGGTGGTTCAAGCAATCAATAATTTACTTTATGGGACTGCTGGGGATGAAGATTTGCGTCTTCTTCCTCATCCAGCTGCTGCCGTTCATAGTCAAGGTGGGAGATTGGGCTCTCCGATGGACGGAAGGCAACACGGCAGTGCAGATCATCTTCGTGATGCTGCTTTTCCCTGTCATCATGAACGCAATACAGTATTACATCATCGACACCTTCATCAAGAAGCCGATTATGCTGGATACTTTCGAGGAGGCGGAGCATGACACCCACGAGCATCGCCACGCGCTCCTGGCGGGCATGGACGAAGACGCATCCTTCGAGTCGGACGATGACTCCGTTGGGAAAGATGATGGCCCGGAACCTGTAAAAGAGGACCTAGTCCGGTTCGAGTCCGCCGAATACAACCCAGCTCAAGTCGAACACAGCTCAGCCGCGTCCGCCAGATCGGGTAGCAGCCACGGCGAGTATGGCGAGTTGTCGTCATCCACCAAGCTTAAGTCCCAGGATAAGGACTGATATGATCTCCACTCACGTGTGTTATGTGGCGTTTGGTGATATTCTCGGTGATTATTCAATGGCAGTTGTGATTGGTGCATTTATGGTCCTATCAGGATGGTGTGTACATGATTTTACTTCAGCTGCTTTTATGTCTTTTGTTTCGTCTACTGCACGTTATAACTCTTCCATGCATACGTATAGTTTAAAATACGATTAATTTTAAGATCGCATTTAGAATTGATTTCAGTAGCAATCTACTCAAATAAGTATGCCTTAAATACCAGGCGCAGATGTACCGCAGTGACCGCACCCCTCACCGCCCACATCTGCCGGCCGCCGAAGAAAATTATTGTCGGCTTCGCTTTCTGCGATATACACCACCCCCTCTATCCACCCATTCAATTCTCCCCTAAACTCTGATCAATCAGAGAACACATACTCCACAATGCCGAAAGTGGCTGTCAAGCAAAAGTCCCGCCAAAAGGTCAAAACGGCCGCGCGCTCCCCCTTCGAACCAGGCCAACCCATTCGCGAAGCCAGCGACATCGACATGAGCGATGATGAAACGAGCTCCGACGATTCCTCGGTGCCGGAGAAGGACGAAGCCGAGAAGAAGCTCGAGGCGATGCTCTTCGGCGACGATGAGGGATTCCTTGGCGCGTTGAAGAACCAGAAGGATCGCAGTTTAGTACTCGCGGGTCAGAGTAGCGATGAGGACGAGTCTGCGGAGGAGGGAGACGATGATGAGGTGAAGGATTTGTCGCAGATGGATGATGCTGATGTTTGTTCTATCTTAATTTACTCTCTTGTTTGTAACTGTACTGGTTGCTAACGAATGGGTTGTGGTAGCTTTTCTTCCTTGACTCTGGCGCCGGACCGGTTTCTACGGATCTCAGCGAGGCGGCGCCCGTCGTGCCGTCAGATGAAGAGGGCAGTGAGGAGGAGTCTGGTATGCCTGCGCTGTGGCATGATAGCGACGACGAGCGCATTACGATCTCCTTGGCGAGCCACCAGAGACTGAGGAAGCTGCGTGTCGCGGAATCGGAGGATGTCATTAGCGGAAAGGAATATATTCGCCGCCTGCGCAGACAGTACTTGCAGTTGAACCCGATGCCGGACTGGGCCAACCCGGAGAAGCAGCAACAGAAGGATGAGTCCGATGCGGACGAGATGGACACGGATGATGAGGAGCCGTCGTCCACGCAGCCGCTGGTTAAGTTGCTGCAGAACGCTACGGACTTTGTCAACGTGGAGGAAAAGACGTCAAGCGGCCGCAGAAAGATGCGCCAGGAGGTTGTGGATATTCATCGTCTCAAGGACGTTGGCAAGGACCAGCCGGTATGTCTTCTGTTGCTAGTTTGTGCATCACTTCAAACTAACATAATATACAGTCCTCGGTCGATTCGCTCATGTTCCACCCCAACTACCCGCTGCTCCTCTCCTCCGGACCTGCAGCTACGCTCTTCCTCCACCACATCTCCCCCTCCTCCCCGGCTCCTAACCCGCTCCTCACCTCATTCCACATCCGCAACACCCCCATCCACACCTCGGCCTTCCACCCGCCCTCCGGCAACCGCATCTTCGCCTCCGGCCGTCGCCGCTACTTCCACATCTGGGACCTGGAGACCGGCAAGGTCGACAAAGTCAACGGCACCGCCGACCGCAAGGAGGAACAGAAATCCATGGAGCGATTCAAGCTCTCCCCTTGTGGCCGCTACGTCGGTCTGGTCGGCACCTCCCGCAAGGGCGGCGGTCTCATCAACATCCTGGACTCCGGCACGGCGCAGTGGATTGCCCAGGTGCGCGTGGACGGCCGCGGCGGTGTGGCCGATTTCGCCTGGTGGAGCGACGGCGAGGGTCTAACGGTGGCTAGCAAGAACGGTGAAGTGTCCGAATGGGACGGCCGTCTCAACCGTGTCGTCGCGCGCTGGATGGACGCCGGTGCCGTCGGCACGACGGTGCTCAGTCTGGGTGGTCGGTCCGGCCGGACGCAGCTGGGCGGAGACCGCTGGGTGGCTATTGGTAGTTCCAGCGGTGTGGTCAACGTGTATGATCGTCGCGAATGGGCCGCGGCGTACGCAGCACAGGGCGAAGACGTCGAGGCTGGACAGTCGGCGATTCCTCGTAACCCGGAGCCGGTCCGGGCTCTTGATCAGCTCACGACGCCGATCAGCCATTTGGTGTTTGCGCCGGATGGACAGTTCTTTGTTATGGCGAGTCGGTGGAAGCGCGATGCGCTGAGAATGGGTGAGTCCCCTCCTCCTACTTTGATTATAGACCGTGTGGAAAGAATACTAATGACGATGACTATAGTTCACCTCCCCACATGCACGGTGTACCGCAATTGGCCGACGTCGAATACGCCTCTGGGTCGTATCTCATCGGTGGCTATCTCGCCCAACTCAGAGCATTTGGCTGTGGGTAATGAGCAGGGACGGATTAGGTTGTGGGAGATTAGGGGGTAAATATTCCTACTTGGTAACTTTATAGAGCCATAAAAGTTTTATACTGCATATTACGTGGAGTTAGTGTAGAGTAAATAAATACCAGTGCAGATTCATTCAATCATATTGATAGCTTGATATGTGACGTGTAACACAGATACAGCGAGCCCTAACTGACCAACATTGAACCACATCCAAGCAAATCAGATGAAACAGACATAAAGAAATAACCTATGAACACCTCCGCCATTCACCACATCAGAAGAAGCAATAATCATCAATAGGACAAGACAGAATATAGAACCGAAAACTGTGCCCTAAGACAGAGTAGAATTTGACTGTCCGTGTCGATCAGTTTACCGCAGACCCTATACCAGTGACAACATAGTTAGTATATTACTCTCATAAAAAGATACCAACCATATTCTTTCCCCCTCTCTGTTTTAGTTTCCCTCTTGTAAAAGACATCCAAAGAGATATAAAGAACAGGAGAACTAACCAAACCACCAAGCTACATCACCAGACAATAATTAGCCATCCATCCCAGAAGCATGAAGTGAGTGGAGTAGTATCTTACCAATCCCAAAATCCCCGACAACTAATCCTCATAACAAAAACTCCTCGTTAGCAAATACCCTTCCTTCCTTCCTTCCTTCATCACATCCTCACAAGAAACCAGTATTACTTACGAAATCAAATGGCTGCATAAAAAACACTCGTTAGCATCACACTCCACCCATAGTAACAAACATGAAAGAAACGGGATAGAAAGGAACATACATCACTCTTATCCTGATCATCCCCGCCCTTATCCCCACCATCATCATCACCCTTAGGATCCTTTCCATCATCATCATCGTCGTGATCCTCATTATCGTAATCATCGTCGTCGTCGTCATTATTACTCGTCTCATATTGCGCCGAAGCACCCGACGAAGAGGCAGAGGCACTTGCCGACGCACGAGAACTGGGTGTAGATGATGCTGCGGCGTTGGGGGTGTGCATTGCTGCTGCTGATGTTGCGGGTGTTGCTGCTGCGGTGGCAAGGTCGCGTTTCTCTATGAGGGGTTTGGCTGCGGCGAGGGCGGTGGTGGCCCAGAGGGTTGTTGTTAGGAGGGTGGTGAGCTTCATGGTTGTTGTTGTTGTTGTTGTTGTTGTTGTTGTTGTTGGGGGGG